TAGCCCCCTCCCCCTCAAAACAAACAGCAAACAAGACAAGCCATCCTGTCACACATACTCTTTCTATTACAAAGGTTCCACTTGTAAAAAAACACTCTTGTCTATTTCTGTGCTTTTTAACATTTTATCCTCTTACCAGGATGAAGGTCAACAGGACTCACAAATAAAACATTAGAATTTGTTTCACTAGCATACTAGTACTTTACTGGACACACATACTGTATCAGACTGTGATAGTGCAGGCTTCATATGTAACCTGAGCCCAATTTAAAATTCTGAAAAGCAGCTCGGTTGGACTCAGTAATCTTATAATCATTTATGTGCACTGTTTTCTGTGCAGCATAGATCTTTTTTTTTTTTTCCAATCTAAATGATTATGTGATTCTGTTATGCATTTCTGCTACAACAGGTTCAATGTATTATTTAGCTGCTCTTCCAGCTTCTGGGGCAAACCCTACAAGCTCCATATTTCTCTCATATGTAACCAAATAGCACAAGAGCATTCACCTCCAGAAGTTCAGCAGTGCTTTCGCTTCCCCCAGGCCTGCTGTGTAACTTTTTTCCCTACTCATTCACCAGTCTCATCATCATCAAGCTGCAGCTGAGGGACAGATGATAGAATGGATATAATTTGAGGCCTGGTAAACTGCCTCTAATCCCACCTTTTCCTCTTGTTACTCATTTTTGTATGGTGCCTGAAATGCAGCCAGTCACCAGTACTAGCTACTTCAGAGATTAGTAGTCAAGTTCCTAATTCTTTCTTCAGTTTGTTCCTTTCTGCAGCCCTAAGGATCCTCCCACAGAACCATTACAGTTAGACAAGCAAAGCAGTCTGATAGACAGGACATGCAGAGGAGCACATGTAGAGGGTCTTAAGTCACTGGGACCTCTTTCTGGAGAGTGAGCCCAGCATGGGAAGTTGTGCTCTTTAGATTGGGTCCAGCAGTGCAGACATTCTTGATGTGGCAAGACTGCAAATGGCAAATTGTCAGCCTACTGCTTCAGAGATCCTTTATGATGGAGAAGTTTTCCAGAGATTAGTCAGATGTCTGTTAATTTTCGTACCTCTCAGAAAACCAGGTCAATAAAAGAAGGAATGATTTAGTGTCTAGGAATGGAGAAGGGTGTCAGTTAACACTTTATCAAGTATAATTCTACCATGGGAAGAATATATAGAAGTATTTTTGTTATTGTCTTAAATTAACCAACACATAATATAAATATAGTCTTTCCATGGCTTCAGTACTTGAGCAACATTTCATGTCTCTCAATCAAGAGAATCTGCACTTTCTGATAGGAAACACCAGCCCACATGACAGAATGAGAGGGGCTTCTAGAAGTTGCTTATTAAATTCTACATTTTTAAAATATTGTTGGACTTAGTGTTAGAGGTATAATTGCATGCATTCTCAGCAAGGAAACTGAATTGCTTAAGTGAACGCTTCCTCCAGAGTTTTCTTCTTTGGCAATAAGATGGCTTAATGTAGTTTCAGTTTGGATGAAGCTGTTAATAGGCTGCATTCTTCAGCAGCATCTATTGCTGTAGTAAGTTACTAACACATACTGCGTATGTATTTTATATGGGTACATTACTACGTATTTGAAATCAGTGAGCTTAAACTGTGCAGCATAATTAGAGGAATGAACCTCACATTGCTTTGTCAAAACATTCTTTAATTTCTGGATTTTAGGATTATTGGATTAAAAGATTAGATGGGATGCCTAGAAATCTCAAATCGGAGCATCTAGTAAAGTAATGCTTCTCATGAATCAGTGGTACAGTGTATCTGTAAACCACACAGACTATAAGTTGCTGTAGTAATTGTTCAAAGGTATTTCAATACTAGGACAACGGGATACTGCGTTTGCTCTGACCTCCCCCTTTTTCTAACACATTTTTTAATTTTAAGAATTTAGTAACTTTTCTTCATTATAATCAACTGGCAACTGTAGTCACTCTGAGCTTGGTGTGTGAATCACTAAACTTCCTTGCCTATATGTTACTAGAGGATTCCTGACACTGACCAGACATTGCATGGAATTCACCTTGCAGTTTATGTTTATTAGTTACATTATGATCACCAAGTACAGCTACAATTAGTGGCTGTCTCACAAGACATACTTTGTTGTCAAAGAATTCTGCCTTGGTTAAACAGTGTCTCTGAGTCCCAGAAAACATGGTGGACTACAGGCCCTTCTCTTTTTCTCAGTGCAATAGCAGATTCACTGCCAGGTAAGAGTCTTCACACATGGCACACAGAAAGTTGTTCTGTCATTCTATTGTGTCTCACTTCCACAGGAGACTTAGTACTTCAATCCTAGAGGTTTCTGTGAAAAAGATTTCTCTCACTGCTGTCCTGCCCTTGCTTGGTCCAGCATATTGTATACCACACATATAGCAATGGAACACACAAGAAAGATTTTCTATATAGTGTATGTATCTGTGTGTATGAGTAGAGAAGTGATGGCACAATGATAAATATACTATCAAACAAGGAAACTTTGGGACCTGGTTCAAATCCCTCTGAAGAAAAATGCTATGAACTTTATCATGTCAATATTTGAACAGAAATGTTTGGTAAATTCTGCCAGGGATTCTGAACCTATAGGTTTAGAGTCCAGATGTTTCGAATGGGATGGTTAATGTAATAGTACTATGTTACTCTTTCCTGACATGGTTTTGTAAGTATTAGGAAGATGACTTTTAATTAGTGTATTAAAGAGTTTCAAAATTACTAATACTCTGTCATCAAGTTTTGTGAAGCAAACAGAAGAGGAGTTCTGTTCACAAGCAATATGGAGACAGCTGTGCTAGCCATATTCCCAAGCCATTAACAGAATAGTTGTCAGCACTTCAAAGCACCATATTCCCATATCATTTAGTATTTGCACTGCTAAAATGACAGCATCCAAAACAAAAACCAAAATGCTGAAGCATTGCAATATGATGAAGATCATGACTGTCTGAACAGAAAGGTCATTATGGGAAGGTGCAAATCATATTTTTATTTTCTGGGGTATAGAAAATCAAGCTGCTTTGGTATAATTTTGGCATCTTTTAAAATCAAATGGTGTTTTTGTCACTGATTTCCACAAGGCCAGAACTGTGCATTTTGGGCCTGACAGTCTTGTCAGGATTTAACATACCTGAACTAGCAGAATTATACGTAGTGACAGCTTTCATATTTTCAAACTGAAGCTGTAGGAATAGAAAAATAACAGCTTCTCATTTCTTTCTTTGTTGGCAGAGCTTTATCAAAAATACTTTTTTTTCACTAAATTCCCAGTATTTCAAAAATTTCTGCCTGAAGTAGAACAGAAATCTTCAACTTCCTTAAACATAGTGAGCTGTGTTTCTCTTTAACCCAGGGGCTGATACAAAATGATGATACTATTGGGTAGCATAAAATAAGGAAATGAATAGCTTAACAGATGTTCAATGGGATACATTTCTTTTCTCTTTTGTGAGTGCCTGCTCACTACTGTTGAACAGAAAGTATCTGCAACTGCTCCTTGGATGCCTAAACTGAAAAGTCAGTCTGACTAAGTCTTGTCTAAAGAGTCACAGCAGGGGAGTCTCTATCACTGACAAGAAAGGGAGCTCTAAAGTAGGACAGGCTTTTTGCCAGCATGGCCGCTCAACCTGCTGACAGGGATTGCAGTGTTCAGGTTGTTTCCCCTCGTTTTACACCAGTGTAACTATACTGTCTTTAAAGAGTATAATGGGTACCAATTTAAGCCTGATCAGAGTACAGCCTTTCTTTAACTACATATCCTCCTAAACCACTTATTTCTATGAGACATCACAGCAAAACTCTTATACAAAAAGCTAGAACACATAGCCTGTAAATAGGATCAGAATTGGATATGAATCACTTCCCACCCCCACCAACAGCCGGTGCCCTTAAGTAGAACTATAAAGCGGAGGCCTTGAAATCAGGAGAAATATCTGGCCTGTTCTGAATTGCTGTCATGGGTGATACTAGCCCCAAAGAGCATGGCACCAACCACACGATTTGGGGGTCAGTAGAACCACCGCTAACTTTTTGTCTGTCAATCAATCCTTTTTGTGTGCCACTAGTTCTAAAAACCCAGTTGGCTTTTTTAGCTTTTTTGCCTTTTAAAAGATATACAAGATAGTTCTGAAGGTTTTTCTGTTCTCAGAGATTTACAGGAAGAGAGAAATGTGTAGAAGGTTATAGTGTGTGAATCCTGCCATTTAGATTGTAGAAATATTTTTGTAATCAAAAATATCCTTGCCAGAAACAGTTCTTTGGTATTTAGAAATCCTTTGCTAAACAAAGTAAAAATGAATGATAAACAAAATCAAGTTTCCTTTGAGCCTGATGTTCTTGCAGCTGCACTCCACTTTTAAGAGAAACTCATTAGCAATTAATTCAGAATGACACTGGCAAGCAGTCCCCAGACTTTAATTAATATCTTTTTGACAAGCTCATAATCTTTCTAGTTAATAGTCTCTCTTAAATTAGTTTAACTCTGATTTCACTTACCATTGTTAGTAATTGTCATCAAATCTAGGGTACTTTACAGAACATTTTCATTTAAGATACTTCTAAAAAGAGAATTTATAGTTGCATTTTACAGAGTAGAACCCACAATTGACGAAGGTCACCCTCAATCCACAGGCAGAGCTGGAAAGAAAAATCTAGGTTCCTGAATACCCTTCCATTGTTCAATTGATTATGCACGGTGCTGTCTCCTGTCTCAGTATCTTGCAAAGAAAGGGTTAAATTCTGATTCCAAGTTACATAACTGATTCTTTTCCTTTATGCCAGTATCAAGATCTTAGACAGTTACAGTACAATATTTTAACTATAATACAGTGAATTATTGTCTGTAAATGTTACTTCAATAATATAAATATCAGTATAGGACAATCTAGAGGTCAAGTTTTCATTTAAAATTGTGCTCTCAATATATGTGTCTTATATGTGCCCTTAAAGCTTTGTGTCAGTTTTGCCTGTATGTCTCAAATACAGAACTGACCTACATGACAACTTTATGCAGCCACACTACTGTGTTCTGCAGAATAAGAGAGAATACTGTGAATTGGAAAAGATGTTGAGACAAAATCTCCTTTGACCTCTGGGTAAGTTAACAACTTTTACATAAATATTATGAAACATGCTATATGTGTGCCTCTTGCATATGTGTATTATGAGGGAAAAAAATATTTACTCACCTGAAACCATTTTTTATGTAGATGATGTAGTGAAGTAATTTTTGATATGTAAGGTCACATCGGTGTTTCTACTTTGCCTACAAATTAAACTGAGAGGTGCACAAGTTACTGTCAGGCTTTGAGTCTGATAAGTTTTTTCAGGATTTAGAAAACTCCAGCTACTGTAGTGTAAGTCTTAAACTGATTACATCTACAAAGAAATTATATCTTTTCATTTTAAAGCTAATTAATGCCTAGTATCCAACAGACAATTGTAAGAAATATCTGTCTAAGCATTGGATGACTCTACTGTAACGCACTGCCAGGGAAGATGGATGTAGGGTAATTTTTGAAGGTAAGTTTTGCTAAGTGAGGATATAAGAAGTTTTAATTTGGTGATTCACAGGGATGACTTGTAATTTTTACTTCTCATGTAAGATGAAGAATGAGGTAAAATGGGGTATGAAAAAAAACAAGATTTGCTTATTAGTCTCCTCTGTCTCCTCCATCTTACGTAAATGTAAAAGCCTAATTTAAAATTCTGTCTCATTAGCAAAAACTAAGATAATCAAGATGGCTGAGAAAGGCCAGGGATGTTACGCAACTTCATAGGGATCCTGAGACCAGAACACATTTCACAATCTCTAGAAGTCATGAGCAGTCTGTCTGCGCTCCAGAGTATTTGTCTAGGACATGTAAAACTGAAAATAACATGATCCAATCGCCTTCTAGAACAGTTTTAGAGTTTTAGTAGCAGTAGGCATCAACTTGTACCATGAGCTTAGAATGCTAACTTTACACAAAGGAGTTATTTTAGGTTGCTTCTTTGTCTTTGTTTTTTCCTCAAGTCAACACTGTGGGAGGGGGGGAGGCAACAAAAGGAGCCCTAAAAAACAAGACAGGTATTAGTTAGTGAGGAGAGGTGCAAAAACATGTTTTAAACCAGTAGGATATTCCTCAGCTGAATTTCTACAGTTTTTTCTCAAGTGCCTGCTGCCTATGTCAGTATCAGCATGCTGAACTAGAGGCCTTATTGCTGTGACAGTTCCTGTGTTTCTGTGGCAATGATCATTCCGTTCCAGAAGCCACAAATTAGAAAATGGTTTCTCACAGTGAAAGACCAAACGAAACACAACATGATCTTCCTCCTTTCTCATGCATGTTAACTGTAAAAAGTTTCTTTGTCTGGAATGTGGCTCTGATTACATTTCTCAATCCAAAAATAAACATGGTGCAAAAGGAAAGGATATAGGGAGGGGGGGGAAATGCTGTCAATGGGCCACCCTCAGGAAAACCTCACAAGATCTACTCTCTGTCTGTGCAAGCCATGGAAGAGCTAAGGAAGTGATCCCAGCTTGGTGGTCTTATTTTTAATTAAAACAAATGAGGCTCTTTCAGCTGCTGCAGATAAATATTTGATGAAAAGAGACAGGGACAGATGTCAAAAAAATGTAGTAAATAAAGAATAAGACCAGAAGAGCAAATGTTACAACAGCATTTTATATATATTAAAGAAAAAAAAAAAAAACCAAAAAACAAAACAAACCCAACTTTACAGATTTCTGTCAAAAGCCTAATTTTACTAAGATGATTCCAAAAGTGGGAAGACTAATTCTTCATACTCTTTCTGACAAAGTAGAATGAAAATACAAATGCATATAGATAAAGAAACATTTTTAAGTCAACATGCTGCACATTATGTGCTTTAAACAAGGCTTCAGAGTCATATCCATACTTCCATAAGAGTTGATATTAGTTTGACTAGTAGTTTTGCTCCAAAATACACGTTAAGGATGCACAGTGAGAAGGTGCCTAGCAACATATATTAGCAACAATCTTGTTGCAGTAATTTGTCATAACATTCATAAGTCTTGTCCTTTGTGAATGGTTCATTTCAAAAAGTAAACAAGATGACCTGCCAAGGTCCTTTCCCCCTTCAATTACTCTGTGACTTGATAGCACTGGGTCTGGATTTAGCTCACCTTTTAGCAAATTCAGTTATAGGTTCTGTGAAAAAAAAAACAATTATTTAATGTAAGTAACTTAAAAATAGGTCATAAAAGAAAGACGAGTCATGAAATAGAGGAAGAATCTCAGTAGATTCTCAGCTCTTTCAAGATGAATCTTTATTGTTAGCATTATATTGGTGTTGCCTGCTAGTTTAAGGTCTGATGTTGCCATTCCTGCATAAAATGTATATTTCCATTGACTCCAATGTGGATTATACATCTGAATATAAAAAAAAAATTTTAAGAGTAGACCTTACAAAACTGCACAGTGAGTGAACCACAGAAGTTTAATGGAAGTATTTAATGTGACACCAATATTTAAAAATAGCACTGTGATTCAGGTCACCAGGAGCAGGATAAATTTGTATAATCCAAATTCTGAAAATAGAGTTATGAATTAATGTAGTTCTGAAATACGTACCTGACTCTGAAGATGTTTAAGAAGAAAAAGTGAGAAGTTGATTGACTGCAGTGCTTAAGGATCTACATGGAGATACTATAGAGCTATGGAGTCCAACAGTAGGCACAGGTAAAAGCAGAGAAGCATCTGGTGACGTAGAACATAAGTTAAACAAATTCAGATGAGAGATGAAGAACAAATTTTAAACACTGAGGAAAAGTAACCGTGGATTGCAGTGAACTTTCCATATTTGGAGGTAAATAAATCAACCTACAATTGTAATGACTAGGTATATATCACATGGAAATCAAACTTGTGCATACAGCAGACTTTCTGATAAAGTTCTAAGTATAACTCCATTTAAGTCAATTACAAACCCCAGCAGCTTTGGATAGATGTTGAGTGAGGCTGAAGGTGAGAATCAACTCTGAGAACAATCAACTTAATACCCAGTAAGGACAGAAAAATGTGATTCTTTATGAGTGGTGCCTGGGTTAGGAATTCACAAAGAATGAGTTGCAAGGATCTCTGAACACTTTAAGGGACCCTTGCAGAGGATGATGACATTCGGCAAGGTCAGAATTCCCCCAGTTAGCATGGCATTACCATACCCAGCTGAGAATTTACATGGAACCTGACAGCAGCTACCCTCTTTATTTAGTCTCAGGCTATCTATGGGCTGTCAACATATGATGCAGACAAACTGTTGTACAAACACAGAATTTATGGGCTGATAAAGCAATAAATAAAACATGTAGGCAGAGGGGCCAGCTTTACTTCTCTTTTCTAAACAAGTGTAAGGACTACAAAATGTACAATGCCAAATCTATGGCATGTCCAGTGCAATACATGAGAGAGGCAGGGAATTGGTACATATGCTACTTCTGTATGTCTCAAGCTGGCTGCAGGTAGAATATGATTCAGCATCAGATCAACAGAGTGCCTGCACTAGATTCACATGTAGCAGTTGTAGATAAACACTCAAAATACCCACACACAAGTTCTGTGCTGCTGGAGCTATGTCCAAGCAGTATTGTCATTTACACAGGCAGAAATTGAGCACTTTTCTAAGAAACTTCCTTTCTATTTTTCAGCATGCAGAGGAAATAGACCAGAGATGTGTTTGGTGTTCCTAATCATGAGTGATGTGCTATGTAGAGATCCACTTCTGGATCTACATGGACTTCTGTGCCCAGTGAAATACAGGCAGAGAAAAAACAAATTTCTTCAATTCCTTGTTAAAAAAGGTAATGAGAAGGCCCCAGAATAATAATCACTCCTTCTTCTCCTTTACAGATGAGATTAAGGCAGACAGAAATTAAAGGACTCACCAAGACTTTGCCACACAGTCAGGATTTAAACTCAGAACTTCAGAATCCAACCCCAGTGCCTGAACCACACATTCCTTTGCTTTTCTGTATTCCCCTACAGTCTTAGGCCATGTGGCCACTATTGATGAAATGAAAAACAGGTGCAGATCCATGAACAGATGGGAGCCCAGCCCTGGCTGATCTCTGGAGGATAATACAGTGTTGTTTTCCGGCAAAGGACTCCAGAGAACCACAGAGGCAGCCCTAAAAGTGAAGCTGCTCTGCCTCACACTAAATATCTCCACCAGCCCAGCAAGAGGGAGTTTTGAGGCATGGTCTGTTTGTCAGCAAGGACACTGCCTTACTGACCTCTCAGGCTGGCAGTATTGACATCTCTGGTTTTCAGGCATTCCTATAAAGGTTGTAGAAGACTAATTGCAATCCCATTCTTTGCAGTAACAGCAGCCAATGTTTCTAAGTTGCTGAAACATAAAATTTCTTCCCTTGAGTAGACAATTTTGGAATGTCTAAGCCTCAAAAAATGCCATTAGTCATACGCAGAATCTTTCTCTGGGAAAATTGGTAGTGGTATGAGACAAATCAGTCAGGTAAGATGAATAATATATTTGTTCTGGATCTGTAAGGATAGATCTACTTTTAATTTCCAGTTCATGGAGAGCTGATGGCTTACTCCACAATATGTGGTTAAGCAAAGAATTTGGACTGCTTTCTCACTGGGAGAAAGATGGTAGGTAACTAGTAGGGTAATTGCCTGATCCTTAGTGCAGGATGGAGTGCCAGGATGCAAAGTACTTCCCTGGCTTATGTGACCCACAGTTATAGTCCCTGCAATGGTACAAGACACATTTTCTCTCCATGTGTCACCTGAAACATCAGCTGGAAGTATTAGAGAAGACATTGTGATCCTCAGTTTCCTCAGATCCACAGAGCACGTATAGACCCAAGAGGATAACACATGCAAGAGGACGGTATGTTTCATGGAATCATAGGATAGTTTGGGTTAGAAAGGACCTTTAAAGATCATCTAGTCCAATCCCCCTGCAGTTTGCAGGGATATGTTTAAGTAGATCAGGTTGCTCACAGCCCCATCCAACCTGGACTTGAACACTGCCAGCAGTGGAGCACCCACAGCTTCTCTGGGCAACCAGTGCCAGTATTTCTTCAGCGTGCATGTCCACTTGTGCCAAGAAAATCTAATAAGACCTGATTGCTTCCTTAGATTCTATTTAAATTGGGGCCACAAAACCTGATTTGCAACAGTAGGCCAAGGCCACACTGCTAACAACATGTATTCTGCTCATGCTAAACAGTATATCAGATTGTTTGGGAAAATCTATTTTATCCCAGTTTTAAGCAGGTTTTGAAGGAAAGCATTCTCCACAGATGACACTAATAGAATTTAGCAGCAAAGACCACCCAGGACACTGGGAATTTCAAACTGTTTGGCCTCAGTTTCTCTGATTCATTCTTCTCAGCTTCATGTGTGCTCTTTGAGAGACAAAAAATAGCATTTCCTTAATTTTGAACTTCGATTTCTCTTCCAGCCGAACATTCGTGAAAGCAGCTGGTCCCAGAGGTGGAACATTCCAAAACCCTGTTTGGAGCCAAGTGAATACGTTATGGAGTCAGTTGTGACACCACTTTATAGAGAACAGACAATGAGTTTTGGATCTCGTAAGTACCTTTTATCCCTGCAAATAAGTTCCCTTCCCCCATTCTTTTGGAAACATCTCAGTCTGTATTGGAAACAGAGGATGTAATTTATTTTTATCGCCTTCCCTGTCAAACTGGCCAACTGCCACAGGGTTCTGCTTTCAGATGTAGCAAGAGGCAGGAGAATCACAGTGACAAACCATTCATTTCAGTGGCTCCTCCTGTTTCCTTATCTTATTTAGAGGCTACCTACTGTGCTCCCTTATCACTCTTTCTAATCCTGCAAAACTTCTCTGCAACTTCACCCCTCCACAGAAAAAGCTGACCTGTTTAGACCTCTCTGCTTCTCTACTCCTGTTCCCTTCCTCAGAGAGCAAGTTGCTTCTTCCTTTGTTACTTTAGAACTCCTTTTTCAATTCCTATCTTAGTCACTCTCTCCTTTTCCTAGTTCATTATATTGCATTCAATTTCCTAGCTGAATGCACATACAGCTGTGTGGCTTCCTTTGGGTATGCTTAATTTCTCACTGTCCAGCCTGCCCTTTGATGTCTGCTAAAGAAGGATACATCTTCTTTTCCATCTTTTCACATGTGCCTATTAATTACTCTCTTCAGAGAGACTGTTTACTGACTATCTCTCTGTTTACAGTTGAATACAGCTAAACATTTGGTCTTCACAGTTCTCCTTCTTATACACCACCCACCCAGTTTCTTCCCAATTGTTGCAGAATAGATGTCTCCAAATCACTTTATAAAGTCACAGATGCATTGTACTTGCATTCCCACACCCAGCCTCCTGCTCTCAAACACTGTTTTTGCTTCAGTTACAGAGATGTAAAGAAAGATTTTGTATTGGTAAATTTGTCTCTAGTTCTCTAATTAAAAAGAAGCAGTGAGGCTTAACATTTTGACCTTTCTGTTGCACGTATTCCTACCTTGGGCACTGTAGAGAACCCTGAAAGCTCTGTAAGCATCAGACTTCTGACCTGTGAAGAAATAATACGAACTCAGTATCAAGTACAGAAGAATGCCCACTGAAGTTAGGAGGGTTATCCTATGCATAAATTGTGCATATGTCTTTGTGCGACCAGGAACCTTGGGTAGGGGGAATTTTAATATGCTGGGGAAGGATAAAAATTATTCTAGCAAATGTGCAGAAGAGAAGAATTATATGGTTATAATACAGCAATTGAGATCTAAGATGAAAATTCCTTCAGATGTCCTCATTCCATACGGAGCTTAAAATATTACAAAATAATATGAAATAAATGTAAAACAAATGTGGACTAAATTATGTTTTTTCCAAAGAAGAGATTATTGTCAATCACAGAACCATAAAATGGTTTGTGTCAGAAGGGACTTTAGAGCTCATGTAGCTACAACCCCCTGCCATGGGGCAGGGACACCTTCCACTAGACCAGGTTGCTCCAAGCCCCATCCATCCTGGCCTTGAACACTGCCAGGGATGGGGCAGCCACAGCTTCTCTGGGCAACCTGTGCCAGCACCTCATGGAGAAGAATCTCATCCTATCTAACCTAAATCTACCCTCTTCTTGTTTAAAGCCATTACCCCTTGTCCTATCAGGAATGCTCCTTTAACTGAAAATTGCCTAAAAAATCTATCAGTTTAATAAGCATATGTTCAGTATAGACTTATTAGATTTGGGTTGAATGAGGCTTCCCATGTAGTAACTCCCTCAAGGCGAGTGTAATGCTGCATGCCAGAACTGAGAAGGACAACTTGCTCTCTGTTCTCCTGCCCCCGCTGCTCTCTTCTGCATTCTGAGGAGGGTCAACTGCTGCTGTACCTAAATGAAGCAGCCCCAACACTGGGCCTGGAAGGAACAGAAGCCAGCATGCTTCAGGCTGGAAGGGAAGGACTGGACCTAGAGCTGGAAGCCTGAAGGGATAAATCCTCAATGATGGCCAAGCAGCCAGGCAAGAAGAGGCACAGGTAAGGGAGGCAGAAGTGTCTCTGACATTTACTTATGGATGCTGGAAGGAACCTTGCATTGTTGAATCTCACCAATGATCTTCACACTGGAGCAGTAAATGGGCATCACAATAACCATGTTACTAGTTAAATAGCAGAGGCATGTACCTGGAAATGACAAATTTTAAGCTTGCTTATAACTGATACAGTGTGGAGACCATATCTTATGCTACAGAAGCTGGGGGTAGGGCAAGGGCAGGGACAAGGGAGGAAAGAAGTCCAGGAAGACCCATGGAAGCACGTACAGACAGCTCAGTTTACGTGGCCTGCTAGTCAAAAAGTCAACAGTTACAGAAATGTAGAATTGACTGGCGTGTGGCTGTGGTTATTTTCCATCAGTTGTCATGGATATGCAAAATAGCCACACCAGAAAAATAGACAGCGAAGCTTAACAGACACATACCATTTTTGGTTTCATTCACACTCTTTTCCCTGATACCCCTGATATTCCTTTAAATGCAGAATCTGTATTTATATCCAAAAAACTTTTATAAAGAGAGCTTTATTGACACATTTGTTATACTTCTATATAACATGATAATGACAACCAGCTGGCTACGGCTAATGACAGGCACTAATTCATATTGGGTTACTACCTTCATGTTCTGCAGGCTGTCACTTTCTTCCCGCCATTTTTAGCATTCTTGCCCTCTTGTACTTGCATTTTATGATGCTCATGTTTACTATTCTTGCATGCTAGGAAAAGAATGAGCATTTTAAAAGCTTTATGTTTAATTACACTTGCAGCTATTACTTAGTCACATAAACAAATTAAATGGACATTTAATTAAATGTTACCCTTTTAAAGGGTAAACTGGAAGCAGAGCCTATTGACTGAACACTGATATTGCGTGCATTTATCTTAATTAGTCAGGTAGTGTTAGGGATTAACGTACTTTAGCTGTTATATCCATAATCAAATGCATTAGCATTTATGTCTTTGTAGCATACAGAATATCAGTTAAGATGTGAGCTCTCTCCTGCTGGGTAATGTACAAACAGAACTTGAAGTGTATCTGAAAGACCCCCTTCCTAAGTCACCTTTAAAGGAAAATACTGCAATAGCCTCTCCAGCTTTTGCAGGTGTGAACTGACCATTCTGATGACAATTCAAACCCTGATCCAAAAATATCCCCCACCTTATCATTTTGTATTTATATACAGGAGAATTCTCTCCTATGGAGAGAGTTTTCAGTGTTTTGAGATGGGGATTTTTAATCCATAGAATCATAGAATAGTTAGGGCTGAAAAGGACCTGAAGATCACCAAGCTCCAACCCCCCTGCCATGGGCAGGGATGCCTGGCACTAAACCACGTCACCCAAGGCTTTATTCAGCCTGGCCTTGAACACTGCCAGGGATGGAGCATTCACAACTTCTTTGGGCAACCCATTCCAGTGCGTCACCACCCTCACGGTAAAGAATTTCTTCCTTATACCTAATCTAAACTTCCCCTGTTTAAGTTTGAACCCGTTACCCCTCGTCCTACAGTCCCTAATTCCATTCTAGCACACTGAGATTCTAGTCTGAGTGAAGGATGGTGCTACAGTAAATATCAAGCCCAAATGCCTCAAAGACCTCATCTGATTTTGTAAGCAGTTATTTCAGAGGTCAGAGAAAATCATTTGGGAGTAGTCTGGAGCACTGAATCTGGTTGTACAGCAAACAATGGGCTATTTAGTGTCTTTCCAACAAACACACAAACTAGGGCTACCGATTAATTCCGCTTCTGTGATAAGCTAATGCTTCTGATCATCTCATTTATGGATTAAAATGCAAAGTAATGAATACTCCTCAGATACCTCGTTCTACAGATGAGTTTATAATCTCATATTTGGAGAACTTATTTTTATAGTGATTGCTACAGACTCATTCATGTTCATGAAATTTCTTTAGTTGTGTTTGGATCTGTAAGACTAACCTCCTCCAATTCCACCAAAAGTCTTTATTTTTCCTTTTTGCATACTGGATAGAAAAGGTGTGCATTTAATGCAACACTGTGTGTCAGAACTTCCACGGGCATAAGGAACCACTTAATTTACTTACGTAAGTAAGTAATCTAGCAAACTAGTGAAACAGCCTGTTCTGGCATTTCCAAGAGCTTTCCTTAGTCACTAAAATACAGTGGAGGGGGGTCAGAAAAAGCCTCAGCACAAAAATAAGAAAGTAGGGCCTCAAATCCACATTACTACAATAGCAAGACACTGTGGTTCATTTTGTACAAGAGTTTGATGTCATGTCCATTTATTTTGAATAATTTCCTCCTGGATTTTTATCTTTTCTAAGAGCTGAATTGTTGAGTTTTCCGAATCAAACACAACTTACCATGTTGTTCAGAGGTTTGATGGAAAGAGATCTCCAGCTATAGGACCTGCATAGGTTTCTCATGCTTTTCAGAAGTCCACGACTAGCAGTAGTCTATGTTTAACACAGACTGAATTTAGAATTATATTGTAAATTGCTTTCCCATCTGTTCCATCACACTTGGCAGCAGTTACTCTTCTGATAGTTTATATTTAATTCCTTTGTCTCTCTATATTTAGGTGATACTGTTAAAAATGCAGTGGATCTCTCCTGAAAATGAAGCAACTGTGGTATTCTTGTTTCTCTAGTATACCTGAAATAACCAGAATTCCAAATATTTAACTTAGCCACTGCCCTTAATGGATCTGCCCTTCATCAGTTATGATCAACATTATGAGATTTTTATCTCACTTGGTATTTGGTATAATTTTTTGAGGGGACTGTTTTTAATCAGTTTTTATTTAACAGATGTGGCTAATCGCATCAAAACATTTGAAAAACCAGGAGAGAATTGAAAGAGCCCAGATGATTTGCAGTTTCAGAGCCTAAGGCCACTTGATCAGACCAATACAAACAATCCCAGGGGACTGCAGACAAACAGCTTGACTAGCTGTCATACTGAACATGCACATGCAGTTGCTTGTGGTATCAGTTGAACAGTATGTTTGTGTTTTAACCAGGAAGTAAACTCACAGTATTTTGCAATGGCATCCAGGTTGACAGTGGGATTAACTTCAGGAAAACAAATGATGGTTAATCAGTACAAAACACCACCCAAAAATGGCACCTGACTTAATCTGCACTTGACAGCAGGAGCTGGAAGGGAAAAGAAAGGATTGTGGCAGTCTCCTATTAGTACCATTTTCCCCCTTCCTGGAAAACTTTTCCTTCACTTTGCTGAGCAGGTGAGCAGCAGAAAGGCAGGACCTGGCGCTGTGCCTGTCACCAAGGATGCAACCCTCCATCCCTGCGTTTGGGATGCCCTGTAATCAGGGCAGCCATACTGTGGCTCTCACCTCTGGCCACATCTTGTATGGATGGTGTCTGGAAGCAGGAAGGTGTCAGCTTGCTTTCTCACTCCTACTGAGCCTTCTTGAACCCCACTGTTGAAGTGCTGCCAGGCTTCCAAATTGGGACAAAGGATCTCTTCCTTCTACAGGACATTTTAGTATCCACAGGTTAGGTATACTAGGAAGCATAAGGTATTAATGTTACAAACAAAAAGCAGTTTACCATCCAGATTGTCTTTTACATTTTGGTTTTGTTCTGCCATGATTTCCAGATGCTAATGGGGAAAATGTTGACTCATTCTTGGAACAATGTTAACTCGTACATAAAGAACCCACAATCTTCTTTTTACCATCATTTACTCAGTGCTGGAGGCAAAAAAGATTAAGTCCATTTTAAGCCTCTCCCAATGCTTTAGATTTAGAGGAAAGCTTTCCTACAATAATCCAAATGCTCATTCTAGCAGAATTGTATTTCTCAAAGGTATTGAAGGACTTGTGGTCAGAAAGTGTATGCAAACAAGACAGCAGTAGTAAAGATAAAGAAGACGAAATGTCATTTTTACTCTCTTGAAGCTTCAAGTGACAAATTTGTAATAGGTCTCATTCAGAAATGGGGAGAGGAGTAATGATGGATACTCAAAGGCTGGATCTACTATTACTACTGGAGTAAATTACAATCGAGAATGCGTGCTAGGGGAGGCAGCAGGGCACCTCAGCACCTCTTCCACAGCTTACTAAAGACATACTAAAAGACATACTTACAAAGTTGAGGCTCACCTCCCATTATTTGGCCAGACCTCGTTAGATTTGCCAGTGGTTAAAAGTCCTAGCTTATCAGAACTTGCCTGTATAGGTATGTTGACAGTGTGACAGCGTAAACCAGATCTCAAGATGATAATTGGATTTTTTAAGGTTACAAAGGACAGTATCAAGAGTTGGAAAAGATGCAGTACACAGCAGCCATGCTGACTGAC